AAACATTGCACATCGCGACTATTCTATATCACCGATAGGGTACATTTAGTATGTGTACACTCTGTAGGTTAACTGTAGTACCATACAGAACCTCTTGTTCTTTGAACGATCGATATTTCAGAATATGTATGTTACATGAAGTCTCGTAAGATGTCAGGTCTATGCAATAATTCGTCTGTGTTTGATCTCCTATTTTATCGAATCGGAAATATCACGTGTCATACTAAAATGGTAAGATAATCTCGCTCATAGAATACAAACCATACAAGACAAACCATAGCAGACAAAAGAGCATTGGTTGTCGGATCTACACTATCCACGGTTAACAATGTGTCAAACCATTATTCGTTACTCTATGTACAAGATAACAGAGAAGTTTATGATGGAATGAAAAGTGCTTGAAACGTATCTTAAGGAATATTATTCCATTTTTAAGTAATATGCACTATGAATTAAATTAAGTTAAACACTTCAAAATTATGGAACATTAAGCAATAACGATAGATAGCTTTGTGTACTTCCTAGAAATTAATTTAACGAAATTATTTATTATATAAATTATTATCAAATGCATATTTGTAGGAAAATATATGCTATTTCAAAATTTTCGCATCAATAATCTCTTCAATACATATTTCTATATACAGGGTGGTTGGTAACTGGTGGTACAAGCGGAAAGGGGGTGATTTTGCGCGAAAAAAGAAGTCGAAAATATACAATAATAATTTTTCGTTGAGGCTTTGTTTTCGAGAAAATCGACTTTGAATTTTCGCTCGGTATGCGTAGATCTCACTGCAGATCGTTGTCTCGATGGAAAAATTAAAAAAAAAATTTTTTTTTAATTTTTTATTCTATATTTTCGACTTCTTTTTTCGCGTAGAATCACTCCCTTTCCGCTTGTACCACCAGTTACCAACCATCCTGTATATAAAATTTCAGTATCAAGAAGAACGGTCTACAATTTCCATAAGTACAATATCAGAATTTACATATTATTTTCTGAAACGTTTCCAATAAGGTATCTCATCAACGTGCACGATTAATCATTCATAGTATTCATTACAAAAGATCCTTAAGGAATTCAGTGAGTGAACCGAATTTACAAGCACGAATATGTTTCTAGTTTCCTGTCCTTTATCTATAGCAATTTTTTATCGATGATATTGGCAGCTATTCTTCAGTACTATATCGATGAAGAAGATGAATCGCGCTTAAACAACGAATAAAAGCGGAACCAAGAAGAAATCCGCGAAATCGATATATTTTCTTCTAGTGATTAATTGAAACGATTGTTATCGGAAACATTGTGTTTCTACATTAAAATTGTCTAGCGTTGAATATCTGTGGGATTTTTTATTTTTTGAATCTTTTATCGCTTTGAATAATTGAGTGACTGCATTATCATTAAATTATAAAATATGAAACCATTATGTACATACATTTCAAACCTAATAACGATAAATATCTCGTTAAGCTACAACATTTAAATGCAATTCGAGTTTTCAACAAAATCAACTGACCACGATATTAAAAAACAGTTAGAAACTTTTTATCTTTTACGCAAATGCCATATCATGCCGAGACCCTATTCCATTCCATTCTCTACATTTCCTGTCGCTAGCGTCATGTAGGAGACACAAGAAATCACGAAATTGACAGATCACCGGTGATCTCCTCGCGTCTTAGTTCGAAGGTTTCACAAATAAGCTAAAGAATTGAACGTTAGATATAGTAGTAAAATTTATTGTGCGAATTCAACAGAGTGACGGTTCAGAGTGTTGGAACAGAGAATGTCGAGAGCTGATTTTAGGAAGATTTATATACTATGGATTTGGCTCGTATGGAGGGGGTGTCGCCGGGGCCAGGTCAGAGATGGCCATGCTTTTTTTTTTTATTTATTAATATTTACAATCAATTCTCGCATTGAGAATTTTCAGTAATTTTTTCTGGCGCAGTGACATGGCTAAATATTTATAATAAGTTAATACTTATTATAGATAAGTATAATTTTTAAGTAAGTGTTGTAAATAAGTAAATATTACTTAATATAAAGTAACTAATTAAATCTAGTGTTTAGGTCTAATGTCTGTGGCGGATGAAAAGAGAGTTGTGCGTTTCGTCCCGGGACTACCGGTGGACTCGCCAGTAAGGCTATGTCCGGCAGTCCCTGCCTTAGACGTAGAGGGAGTCTCGCTAGGTGCGGTATTTATATCAATCGCTCGTATATTCGACCGCTAGCGAGTTAGACAGACTCGTTGTCGTCGTAACCCTCTAGTGTTGGCGGCTGGTGCCAGCGGATCGCCCGGGAGGTATTGCGCCGCGTTGATGCCTCGACCTGTCGGCGTCCTGTTGATACCGATCCGCCACATGACTCTTCATCTTGCGGATCTGGTCCGACGTATCAAGTGGTCGAGTAATTAGGGGGTTTCGATGTTTGTTGACTCTTTTGTTATATCTGTCGCTATATTTTGCTATTTCCTCTTTGACTGTGGGTATCTCGAAGTCGCGATGTATTAGTTCGTTGGTGACATGAGATGGCCATGCTGTTACTGTTTTTTGACAATGTAACACTCTCTACGTAGTTGTTTGGATGGCTTGCGGGATGTTCGTTAGACCCCCTTGGTTTTTCTATCGCTAATTTATGGCTCTGTGACACTAGCCATGTGGAAACAAAATCATACCTTTTTACAAAGCAGTTGCTGCAATTGCGTATCATAGAAATAAAAACTGAAAAGGAAGGAAAGAGGCAATAATATTCACGGTGTATCAAAATAATTTATCGTACAAGTGGATAAAAATCGTCTAAAACGGTAGAAAATGTGAAACGAATCAACGACTCGTTTCTTTTGCATATTTCTGTCGCGTAATTCTGCAGCTCGACGAGAGATCGTCGAGCAAGATCGGAACACGCAATCGTAAGGATAAAAAGGCAATAATGTTCGCCAACGTCCCCGTCGACGAAAACTTTAACAGCGTGTTGTATCAGAACTATGAAGGTGGCACAATACTGGTTCACAATCTAGAATCTAGATCCTAGATCCTCCGACGAGGAAGGGTTGCGCGTTAATAAACTCTCCGGTGACCGTCTTCCTATCAGGCGTTCACATCGTGGCTTAAATAGTGAATTAAGGTCGCGGGGCCGGTGATCTAGGACAATCGCCAACGCCGTGCTTGATTTTCTATTGGATCATTTTCCGCTGCTCGTTAGACTCGGATAAAATCTCTGGGGAGTTATGCGACCTTTTAGTGACACGTGTTAGTCTGGAACTGAGAACTTTCGAAGGATTTCAGTCCCTTTTGGGAAGGGGTTGTAGAAGACGTAGATTTATGATAGTCGTAAAAGGGGGGATCATATTGTACCGTTATATTATCATGGGAATTTTCCAGTTATTTTATGGAAGTAAGTTTATTTAATATTTCTATATTGAGCACTATATTATTAACCCTTAACGCTCCGACTTTTAATTGTGAATATCGTCCAACTTATTCTCATCACACTTCGACTTGCAAGTTTTTAAGTGTCAGATTTTAAATGATACAATGACGTGTAAATAATAATATTAAAGTCATTCAAAACAATCTTTATTCTTATTATTTAGAAGTGGTATAATTTTGTTTACAATATTTATATTAATTATAGTTGAGTAATATGTAGAATTTTTTGAGCACCGCATATCGGCGGTGCTTGAGAGGCACACTTGGAGCATTAAGTGTTAATAGCATTATGCGACCTGCTATAACGTAAGAAGCGTTATTGAGTTTTTATATTGTTAAGATATCGGTCTTAAGTTTGTTTGGACGATTCTAGTTTTGATAACATTTTAATAACATTGGACCTTCATTACGTAATTTTAAAATTGTTAAGATATTAATTTCGAGCTTGTCTTTCGTAATTAACAATCAAACACGTTAACGCTTGACTTAAACTTCATACTTATTTTTCAATTCTATCTTTATTTAAATGTGAGATTTTATAAAATGCGAATATCTGTGTCGAATGAAGCGATATTCGAGCGATTTCGAGTAAATCGCGATTACCATTGCAAAAGCAACGTTTTTCCGCTCCGTAAGTATTCCTGAGATGTTGAGAACACGCGTAATTAATATTTTAACGGGAATACAGGAAACGTGCCACGATACTTTTTGCGCTAACTTAACAGCCAGGGGATTTACGAGCAAACTGTTGCTTTTGTGCTGGTCCACGGTTTTGCTTCCAAAATGCTACTCGCGAACACGAATCGTTCGATTCGCGGCAAAAAGATAGGATATAGGTTTGGATAGGTTCGTGACAGGGGTTGATGTATGTATCGAATAAACGATGCCGCTAAAGTATCGTATTGTTTTTTGTACGAGGTGCCATAACCGATTGAAAACTGAGATGTGCGAATGATGTAAAAAGAATTTTCTCTGATGCTGTTTTCAGGTCAGGTCAGTTCTTGTCTCGATATCGAACGAGATCGACAAATAAAAAGGTTTATCGAAGCTAGATTCGGTGATAGAATAATATGGTTCTTCCCTAGGACGAAATTAATTAAAACTATCTCAGTTGAATAGACAGAAGTTCGCTATATCAAATGCTTTGAAATTTCATCGAAATAAATAAAGTTGCGTTATACTTAAAGTAAATTAAAGCTCCCCTTTCCAATCACGTCAGACCCATTTAACAATTAAAATTCCTCTCAACAAATTCGATCAAAACATCCTTTGCCTACCCTCTCTAACCCTTTCAATTTCATTAACGAGCGAAAGTACGCGTGGAAAAGACGGCACCAAAAAATTGGTTTAATTATAGGTCGCAATTAAAGGATGATAACGGTCGGTGGGATAGGGGATGGTCGAGCGCGCGGGCATGGCGCGAAGGCAAGCAAAAAGGGAGCAAAGCAGGAGCGTAAACAAGGAGAGTGCAACGTGGGGGTGGCAGTGGTTCGCGGAGGGTGAGACGGCAACACACGCGCTCATGCGCGCCTGGAACCCCGCCCTGTCGCTTCGGACGAAAGCTTGTCCCGTCGAGGACTCTCGGTTGAGTTTCGACGAGTAGTCACGCTTTAACTCGCGATCCGCGAGGCGGATGTTATCCGGAACGCGAGTTCACAGGTGCAGGTGTGCCCAGATGTAACACGCGAAAGCTTTGAAAAAGCTGGTTGATCCTAGCTCCTGCACCCTGTGCCAGAAACATCCGGACGGAGACGTGGTTTTGAGCTGGTGACGAAACTCCAGGAGCCAGGAGACAGGTGCGAGTGTCAGGTGTCGTAGATAGGTGTTGGGGTGTTTTAGATCTTCGAGCCTGGGTCTGTCTTTATTCGACGAATACGCGGCCACCGTTACAATAGAATCGTTGTTTCGAACACTTGTGGATCGAAGCAACTCTAACGAATCACATACATATACGCGGCGACAGGTGTATTTTTTAAAGGTGATAGTAGTCGTGGAAGGTGTGGAAAGATTCAAAGATTCATTGATCACACAGCAACACGGGACACTCGCTGTCTTGGATACGCGCCTTCGCCTGTTCGAGTCGTTTAAGGTAAACACCGGTGTGTGCCACCGATCGGCCGAGATATCTAGGTCAACAGGCAGTGGCCAGAGGCAACTAGTTGCGGCTGTAATCGTTCCTGTAACCGAGGCCAGCGGCAGACGTTGTGTTCTTTTTTGGTTGAAAGAAGGAAGAAAGAAGAGATCGTTCGTGATAATCTAACGCTGGACCAATAAACGTCCGAGATACCAGAGGCGGGAGGATTTATCTAAGAGGTGTCGAGAGAAGAACGGAGAGAAATAGCTAGGCGAGAAAGGGGTCTATTGTTCGTTAAGGTCGCGTCGCTCACGATCGGATTTCCTTGATTACGGTTACGGTATCGACGCGAAGGAACAGCAGCCGTGTTCTTTCCGGTGGAGGAAGAAAGTAAGAGAATTTCGATCAATCTTGGCCAAGCGACGCGAGACGCGTTATCCTTCATCCTCGTTCTGGACGCGACTTTTGCCGATTATACGCGCTGATGACAACTACGGATTTATTATCAATTTTCGTTAATTAGAATGATCCTCGGATGTTTATGTCTCTTCATTCGAGTTGTTAGTTAAGGCGAAGGAACGAAGGAAGGGAAGAAGCAAAAAGACAATAAAGTGTATCATATCCGAGAAGATCGAAGCCAATTGGAATATTACAGAAATGATTGGTTGATCCGTCTTTTATCGTGTTTTGAAATATTTTTATTCGGCTTATTCGATATTCGTTAGTTAGAGTGTTTGTAGCAGTGAACGGGAATTACCAAGGCCTAATTAAGGATTTAGTTTTGTAATGATTCAAGTGTCGTCGATTGCGCGATAGAGTTTAGTGATAGTTATCTAGAGAGGCGGTTTGTAGGAGTGCTCAGAGCAAAGATAACGGCCTTGAAACTTTTCCATGCACGGATCGGAAGACCGAGCTAGACAAGATGCTCTATGCCTGACAGCGTGACTACAGCTAAAGGTCGTGATCGATCGACTTACTTCGATGGCCTAAAAGAACTTTAAACGTTCAAGGTCATTATGCATAGCGATAAAACGGAAACGTAAAGTGCGGACAAGTCGGTTGGTCCGTTCGATTGTTACGACACCTAGCTATTTCGTTTTGAAATAGCGTAACGCACGATTCCTATTCTATTCCATTGCATTTGGCCAAGAATCTAGTCTCAATAGAAAATCTTCGTTACAGGCCAGATGAGGCGATAGCGGAATTCGTTAATCCGCACGATGTCGTGTCAAGGATACTCAACCGATCAAGAACGTCCTGGCATTCGCGAAATGTGCCACGCACATCCCTCGATCTCTCTCGAGTTCTTACAGAGTTTTTATAAGACTTCACAGACACCGTCGTGCTTAACGAAGCGACGATAACGGAGGATCGCTTCGTCAGGACTCAGGCTGTTCTCGCATCACCTATACGTTGTATCATCTAATTCCACTCTAAAAGCGGAACGTAAAAGCAACGTCGTCGGACTGATAGAATTAACGAAACCACAAAGCGTACCGATCGTATTTCCTCGTTTCCACACGGTCCTAAACATCGCACAGCCTAAAACCTCAGGTGGATCAACAAAGGCAAATCCTCGTCGATCCTCGCTTTAATTAACGCTTTGATCAAACAACCTCTAGACCAGTCGCAAGCCAAAGTGTTCGCCAGATGACATAGTTCGCTAAATGAGATCACCGAAGCGACTTGCCGATTGAACGATTCAGAAAGCTGCTACTTGTGGTCGATGCGAAAGGAGGCTCGACGGTCGACCTCGCGAACGAAACAGCTCCCGACCCCTTAGTAGTCAACGGACAAAAGCGGCCTGGCCGGCACTCGATGAGTCCTAGTGAAGATAAGGATCCTCGAAAACCCTTGATCGTTTGCCTGGAACGTCTGAAGAAGCTCCGGTTGGCACCTATTTGAGAGCGGTCGGGTGATGCGCGGGAGCAGCTCTGAACTCCTGCTGGAGGCAAGTTGCGTCCAGTGTCAGAGCGATCACCACGCCGGCGAGCACACCACCAGGCATCAGCAGCAGCATCAGCTAAACGAGAAACACGACTTCCAGGAGCGAGAGCTACGTCGTCGCAAACTGTTGGAGCTCGGGTTCGGCGCTTCGCGGCGCCGACCGCC